CCTCCTCTCAGTTCCGTCCCCCCTGTCTTCCGAACTCTTGGCAGTCCCGATGCCCAAGGATTTCAAGCTTCCCCCTCTTGACAAGTATGCTGGGTCGTTTGACCCGAATGATCATGTAGATGCCTTTCAGTAACAGATGCACCTGGCGCAAGCCAGTGAGTCATGCATGTGTGTGGCCTTCTCCACTACTTTCAGGGGAGCAGCCCGCACGTTGTACCGGAACCTAGCACCCGGGTCGATAAGAAGTTGGGCGCAGTTCGCACAAGCCTTCACGTCCCACTTTGTCACCAGCAAGCGGTGCCCGCGGACTGAAGAAAGCATCTTCAACGTAGCCCAAAGAGAGGGAGAGTCCATCCGAAGTTATATCAAGTGGTTCAACGACGCTTGTATGCAGATACCGCGTCTGGACCCCGCCGTACGCCTAGCAGCGGCCACGAAGGGCGTAAAGCACAAAGAGTTCAAGTGGCACATGGTCGTCAACCAACCCGCGACCATAACCGAGTTTCTAAAGCTCGCGGATAAGTTCATAGCCACTGAAGAGGAGATCAACCAGAAGGGTGAGGGCGCACCCGAAAAAAAGAAAGAGAGAAGGGGAACCTTCCAGTCAAGAGGATATCCGAAGAAAAACAGAGGTAGTTCGGGGAGCAAAGCCGGGTCAGTTGTTCCGATCTCCCGCACCAGACCGAGCTGACTACACCCCACTGAACGCAAAGCGGGCCGAAATTCTGATGGCAATCAAGGACGCCCCGTACGTGAAGTGGCCTCCCCGTCTGAGGGGGAATCACAGTGAAAGAAATAAGAGTCTGTATTGCAGTTTTCATAAAGACCACGGGCACAGCACCGAGAGTTGTAAAAACCTCCGCGACGAGATAGAAGAGCTCATCCGTCGCGGATATTTGAGAAACTTTGTACAAAATAATAATAACAATAATAATAGTAACAGAACAGGTCGGCAAGGGGAGCACGGTAAAGACGCTCCCGAGTCCAGTAGCAGGCCGGCCGAATAACCACAGAGACAGCCTCCAAAGGAGAGGCCAGTTCGCGGAACCATCCACATGATAGTGGGAGGTTCGATCGTTGCAGGGTGCACCTCAGCGGCAGCTCGGACGTCGATTCGTGAGGTCGTCCGGGAGGAGTAGAACCCCCCAAAGCGGCCAAGAACGGAAGAGCCAATTTTCTTCATAGAAGACGATGCGCGAGGGGTCCATTACCCCCACGACGACGCGCTCGTAATAAAGCTGAGAATCAATGACTTCGAGGTTAGGCGCATACTCGTCGACTCAGGCAGCTCAACCGACATACTCTTCAAAGCCGCGTTTGACCAGCTCCAGTTGCAGAAAAGCGACCTGAAGCCCGCAGACACTCCTTTGGGAGGCTTCAGCGGAAAGGAAGTCCGGCCCCTTGGGAAAATAACAGTACCTATAGAGATCGGCACATGGCCTTGTGTAGTCAGATTCGAACACAACTTTCTAGTAGTAGCGACCCCCTCTCCCTACAATGCCATAGTAGGTCGGCCGATCACCCATGTCTTACGGGCGGTGGTCTCCACTTACCACTTGGCTATGAAGTTCCCAATAGACTTCGGTGTGGGAGTGGCGCGAGGCGACCAGCTCGAGTCCCGCAAGTGCTACGCTGCCGCCCTAAAGGGGAAAACCAAGGTGACCGATTACCTTGAACTGGAACGACCCACGGAGCAAGGAGAAGAACGAGCCACGCCCACGGAAGAAACAGTCGCGGTCCTGACCTCAACAGCAGACCCAGCTCGGACGCTCCAGATCGGCATCTCCGTCCAGGAGCCCCTATAATCCGAACTGTTAGGCCTGTTAGACAGAAGAAACGCAACCTAGCCCCGGAACAGTGGAAAGCGGTCGATGAGGAAGTCGAGAAGCTCCTCGCAGCGGACTTCATAAGAGAAGTCCATTACCCAAGCTGGGTAGCCAACCCTGTCCTGGTAAAGAAGG